TGACAGACCGTGGACTTGGGACCCCATATACAACTCATTTAATACAGGCTCTCTGTGATATTCATGTACTAGAAGTTGGTAAATGTAAGTATGTCCAGGTTTCTATCGACCCTTGGAGACCTTTATAGATATTGCTAGCCACTTCTTCCAACATAGGCTGGCCAGCTGTGTCGGAATGAGTGTGCATTTTGGTCAGTATAATAGCCAAAGCCTCATGCGATGGGGGGAAGCAGAGCCTCTGAAAGGACACCCACTAAGGTAGAGACTGCCACCTTGCACTGTGATGATGCTTCTCGGAGTGGGTTTCTTGTTAGTCTCCACAGAGTCCTTGTGCCATGTTCTGTACTTGGGATTGTGTACTGGGAGTAAGGTTTGCCTGGATTTTGTGCTTCAAATATTGTAGTTGTGTGGAGTGTGCTTGTGGGATCCCATATATGTGTGTGTGCGTGTGTTGAGGGCAGACAGTGTTCTGTGTATTTTTTGTTGTTGGGTTCATGTAAAAGTTTTTAATGGGTAGTAGTTTAACATTTTGGTCAAGAAAGGGTTAATGCAAAACTGCCGTTGTCAGCAGGTATTTATGGCTGCTGCTGAGCAGGCAGGCGTTTGTAGCTGTGCAAAGCAGGGTGAGCAAAAAAAAAAAAAAAAAGGCAAAAAAAAAAAAAAAAAAGCTCCAAAAAAACCCACCAAACCCAAAGGTATTTGGTGAGAGTTCGGTACCCATGTTCAAAAGAAGCTGCCCTCCGACTCGGCTCCCGGTGCTCCACTGGTGGAAGGGCTAGGATGACCACCAGAGCCGAGGAGTGAAAAAACAAAACAAAACAAAACCAAGCTTAGTATGCTTAAAGTAACCTGGGGGTGAATCCAAGACTTAGAGGAACAGACAGATTGGTTGAAACAAGAACTGCTAACTGGAAAAGCGAGAGGGGTAGTGCAACCACAAGGTTTATGAGCCGTCACCTAAGTAGCATCAGGGTGGCAGAGAAGAAAAAAAAAAAAGGGCAAAGATGCAGAAAACTCCTCGATTAACCTGTCTACTTCTCAAGAACTGATAAACTGTAGGAGGGGGTGTATTTGTGTTCTCCTGCCTACAGGTCCATGGCGACTGCCTGCAAAGTTTATCAAGCCTTGCTGTGAGCTGGACAGACAAATGGAGGAAGCCGAGATGTTTCAGCTTCAGCTGACCCTAAGCAGAATGAGATAGAGGAAGAGAAAAATGAATGATTGTAAAGCATCACTTGGGGGCAAGTGAAAAGTAACAGCCTGAATATGTGTGCTTGTAAAGTAGCTATTATTAGAGGCTTTGATTTTGTGTATAAAACCACACATATTTACTAGCCAGTTGCTAATAAGAAACTACACCTTGTATTGTAGAGATTTGTCACTTGTAAAAGAGATGTTAGAATATGCAAATTTGCAGTAGCTGTTAGAAAATGCTAAGGCAAAAGCTAGAAAATTCTAATACAATGGTAGTGTTATAAAGCAGGTAATGGAACAAATTAAGAGGGTGGGAGAGCACCACTGGTAGGAAATTTCTTTGGCTAGTTACTCTGCTAATATAAATTTGTGTGTGCCTTGCCATAATAACAACTTGTTATTGGATGAAGCAGGTGAAACTGCATTGACAACAAGGTGCAAGGACTGAGGCTGACCAAATACCTGCTACCGCAATCAAGGGCAAGACTGGGTTGGCCTCTGTGTTTGCCACCAAGAAGAACCTTTTGTTCTGCTGCTGGCTGCAACCCAGCAGGTGTAGAGCGGTGGGGACACATGCCATGCCAGACCTTGATATGAAGGATGGCCTCCCCTGTTACCAGAGAGCCATGCAGGAGAAAAAGGGACAGGCCCAGCAGCCTGTAGTTGGCATATGTTGGAATTATGATCTAGCCCAAGTCCTCTACTCAAGTAGGGTCATCCAAAAGATATATGAAACATAAAGGGGGAGATGTGGAGACAGTGTTCTCACAGTAGAATGGATAATTGGTACCTAATCTCTGAATATTCCTGAAAGATACAGCAAGGCCTTGAGAGGCCAGAGGAAGCTGAAGCAAGCAAGATAAGAAGAAGCTGTAATTCACTGAGTTATGAGAACTGTGGTCTGTTGGCAAGCTTTCGAGGTCAAGTTCTCACACCTGTGCTTAACCAATTATGTGTTAGTTGCTAAGGGTCTTCAAGACATGTATCCAATCATAATATGCCAAATCACTGTAAGTGCCTTTGAGAAATGGTATATAAGGATTTAAAGCTTTGTAATAAATTGGCAATCGCTGATCAGCGTTGTCCGTTACTCCCGCATCAGCACTAACCTCTGTGTGTCTCTGTTCCAAAGGAGAACCTCCACAGACCCTGGTTCTAATTTCTGGGTTTATTCTCTGGCCTCATGTGGTTAGCGAGTTGAGTAGAAGTCAACAAGCAAGAACTAGCTGAGTTTGTTGTTGTTTGCTTACAACTGGGTACAGTAGAAAAATCATGAGCTTGATATTCCTGTTTCCAGTTTTCCCTCTGGCTTGTGCTCAGAATGCTTTTCCTAACATGATATTTAGAAGCCACAACATTCAGAGGAATTCCATTAAACTGAGTTAAACCATCCTCCCTCAGTCAGAAACTTAATTTGAAATAAATAAATGCCCTTTGATATAAGATGACTGTATGCTTCTAGATACCTTAACTCTAGATTTTTTAAGAGGGAAGATCAGTAACTTATTCTAGAGTATACTATTAATTCTGGTGTGTGACTTTTTCTTTTTTTTTTTTAATTCCTACTTTTTCCCCTGACCATTTTAAAGATCCTGGTCTCAGGAGGTAGAAAATCCCAAACAGGAGTGGGGATCCCTATACCACAGTATCCCTTATATTCAGCAGCCATATCTAGATGCTATCCAGGTGAACTACTATTTGGATGAAGAAATTTGTTGGGCTCTAGATGTGAATAAACTTTGACATTCCTTGAAGGAAGCTAAGGCATGCTGCAATCTGAAAGCCCTCTGCATCATCAGCCCTGGAAATCCCACAGGTCTGTAGCAATTTTGGTTAATGGATGGGTTTTAACAGTGTTTTGGGTTTTTTTTTCCTTCTTCCATTCGACATCACAGGCAAATTCTAAATACCTATGAAATATGTAAAATCGAATTCTAGAGATCAGTGCTTTAAGTAGGACAGCATGTCTTACTTTTAGAAACTTATTTTCAGTGTCATGGAACTCCAGGGATTTGGGAAGACAGGAGAGAGCAGGTTCACTTCACCGGATCCCATTTGAAGCCACTGCTTCCAGTGAACTTTTGCAGGCTTGTGGAATCACTTGGCCACTTTTGATCTTTATCAAAGATCTTGTCTCTGACATGGCTTGTAGCCTCTTGCCACTGAAAGGCAATGACTAAACACTGAACTCGGTGACAAACACTGAGGAAGTGTGGTCTGGATGATCGGGTAGTGAGGTGGACTGTGAACTGGCTGAAGGAGAGAAGCCAGAGAGTTGTAGTCTGTAGGGTGGAGTCTAGTTGGAGGCCTGTATCTAGTGGAGTGCCTCAAGGGTCGGTACTGGGACCAGTATTATTTAATATATTCATCAACGATTTAGATGAGGGAATTGAGTGTACTATCAGCAAGTTTGCTGATGACACTAAGCTGGGAGGGGTGGCCGACACGCCAGAAGGCTGTGCTGCCATCCAGAGAGACCTGGACAGGCTGGAGGGTTGGGCAGGGAGTAACTTGATGAAATATAACAAGGGAAAGTGTAGAGTCCTGCATCTGGGCAGGAACAACCCCAGGTTCCAGTATAGATTGGGGAACGACCTGTTAGAGAGCAGTGTAGGGGAGAGGGACCTGGGGGTCCTGGTGGATGACAGGATGACCATGAGCCGACACTGTGCCCTTGTGGCCAAGAAGGCCAATGGCATCCTGGGGTGTATTAGAAGGGGGGTGGTTAGTAGGTCAAGAGAGGTTCTCCTTCCCCTCTACTCAGCCCTGGTGAGACCTCATCTGGAATATTGTGTCCAGTTCTGGGCCCCTCAGTTTAAGAAGGACAAGGACCTGCTGAAGAGAGTCCAGCACAGGGCAACTAAGATGATTAAGGGAGTGGAGCATCTCCCTTATGAGGAGAGGCTGAGGGAGCTGGGTCTCTATAGTTTGGAGAAGAGGAGATTGAGGGGTGACCTTATTAGTGTATATAAATATATAAAGGAGGAGTGTCACGAGGATGGAGCCAGGCTCTTCTCAGTGGCAAACAATGAAAGGACAAGGGGAAATGGGTATAAATTGGAACACAAGAGGTTCCACTTAAACCTGAGAAGAAACTTCTTCTCAGTGAGGGTGACGGAACACTGGAACAGGCTGCCCAGGGAGGTTGTGGAATCTCCTTCTTTGGAGACATTCAAAGCCCACCTGGACACGTTCCTGTGTAACCTTATCTAGGTGTTCCTGCTCTGGCAGGGGAACTGGACTAGATGATCTTTTGAGGTCCCTTCCAATCTCTAACATACTGTGATACCGTGATACTGTGAAGGGGAAATGGGTACAAACTGGAACACAAGAGGTTCCACTTAAACTTGAGAAGAAACTTCTTCTCAGTGAGGGTGACAGAACACTGGAACAGGCTGCCCAGGGAGGTTGTGGAGTCTCCTTCTTTGGAGACATTCAAAACCTGCCTGGACACGTTCCTGTGTAACCTTATCTAGGTGTTCCTGCTCCGGCAGGGGGATTGGACTAGATGATCTTTTGAGGTCCCTTCCAATCTCTAACATACTGTGATACTGTGATACTGTGACAGGTGCAAAACAAGAAGTTCACTGAAGATGTGTTGTACTTTGCTTGAGAAGAGAAACTTTTTCTTGTGGCTGATGAGGTAATGGGATATTCTGTTCTCCCTAAAACACAGATGAGAGTACACATATGAGATATAATTTTTTCCATGTGTTACTGGTGTTTTTTAAGTACAGAGAACAGATTCTCTGTTATCATTTTAAGCCATGAACAAACATGCAATATTCTTAATATCAGAAAAGTTCCCTTTCACACAGTTCCTTGGTCAATAAACAGGTTTGATCATTTGTACAAACCCCAAGATACTCATACCTCTGTTGTGATTTTATTTGGATGCATGTAAGATAAGTTTCTGCAAGGAATTCTACTTTTAAGGATATGACTTTTAATGGTCTTATGCATTCAATACTACATGTAGTCAGGCCTTTCTAATGTTCTGTGCTATTACAAGTTTGTTAAATACTATCTTCACCTGATTAGAATTTACACAACCTGTAACCATTTGCATCAGGCAGAGCAGGTTATTCACTTTGCTGGCTTTGAAGCACTGTATATTCCACACACTGAACAGCAGTGAAATGGCAGAAGCTAAGCCTCAGCTGTGAAATAGGGTCCTTCTCATACAGGAAGGATGTTTCCCAATGCTTGTCCAAACCCTGGCAGCACAGCCACTGTCTGCCGCAGCCTGGGGCCTGTGCCTGACGCCCTCCTGCGCTGGGTACTACTCACCGCTGGGATGAAAGCGGTCACCTGCCCCATCGCAGGTCCTTGTGTGCTGAGCTCAGCAGCGGCCGCTTCCAAGCAATTAAAGAAAAAGCACAATTAATTTGGTTCCAACAGAACAGAGCGCGTGTGCGAGTGGATTTATGTCAGCATACCCAGCTCCTGTCAGGACGCGAGGGCTTGGGTTTCGTGCCTGTCTAGACTCACCCAAGCCCATCCCTAGGGCACCACGGAGACAGGGGACCCCAAACTTTTCACCCTCCCTGCCTCCCTATCGTCCCTTCCAACAGGAGGCCGAGCACCCCCAGGGTACCCGCTCCCCCGCTCCCTGGCAGCTCTCGACCCCCAAGCCGGGGCCTCCTGTGCCGCCCAGTCCCCTCACGGACACAGCCCCTCTCAGGGGGCCGGGCCGCCCGCTCCCACCACCCCGGAGGGTGTGTCCGATGGGGGAGGGAAGAGAGATCTCCGCTCTTACAAAAGCTTCCTGGGCGGAGAATATTGCGTTTATCCGGTGGGGTGGTGGCTATGCCCCGGTGGAAGTTTGCTAGCAAGCGGTGTAGCCCTGGCTTGGGTGGGGGGCCTGGCTGTGGTGTTCTCTCCCAGGAGACGAAGAATCAGCGTATCGCGTTGTTCTTCCACGACTTCGACCAGCAGGGTAGGGTTGGAGACGTTAGCAACGGCCCCGGGGATGCTCTGTGTTTTTGACAAGCGCTGGCCGTCGCAGGTGGTGAAGTGGGCACCGTGTCGGTACTGATGGTGCCCACACGCCTGCTCTTGCTTGTCCGGTTGGGGGAGCCTACGAGCCGGAGTAAGGCGGTCGGTGAGGAGCGATGAGCGGCTCACCTTTTTCTGAGGGGTGGCTCGCGGGCCTCGGTTCGGTGGCAGGCGGGCTGAGGGGCCGCCGATGCGGCGCACGCCGTGCTCCTGACAGCCTCGGGAGGGTTCCCGTGTCAGACAATCCGCATAAAGCGTTGTTAACATTTTCAGTGCATTTTAGCAGTGCTGGTACTTGGAAGTATGTAATGTATATGGTGGTAAGAGCTTATTTTGTTTTAAAGCCAAGGAAAATATCCAGGAAATGAAGAAGGAACTCGATTCGCTTTTGCAAACAGCTGAGAAGGCGTTTACAGTAGAGCTGCTGAAGATGCCAATTGCTATCAGGAAAATTAAGAGAAAAGATTTGCTTAGTAAGTGTGTGTCCTCTGGTTTCAGCTGCGATACGGTTAATGTTCTTCCCAGTAGCTGGTACAGTGCAATGTTTTGGCTTTAGCCAGAAAACAGTGTTGATGATCTAGAGGTGATTTGGCTACCACTGAGCAGTACTCACGGAGCCAAGGCCTTGTCTGCCTTTCACCTGTAAGCAAGGAGGCTGGGGGGCATAAGGAGGAGGGGTCTCTGGGAGCAGTTGTGTTTGTCTTCCTGAGTCATTGTGAGGTGTGGAGCCCTGCTGTCCTGGGGATGGCTGAGCAGCTGCCTGCAGTGGGAAGTGGTGAACCTGAAATAAGCCTGACTGGGAGTAAGTGAGTAGCCGCTTTGGAAACAGAGATTAAGCCACTGTCTGCTTTGCTTAGGGTTAAACACCCAGCTCTGTGTGTGGCCTTATATTTGTGAGGAATGCAGTCATAATTAAAGCATGATGCTGATACACACACACCCCCCTGTATGCCCCCAACCCTGACTGATGTGAGAAATCCCATAACCGTAGTGTCCTTTTATATAAAAGCTTGCTTTGCATGCTATGTTAGCTAATTGGCAGTGGTATTGTACTGCGGAGGCTTGCTCAGTATGTGCTCTTGTTCAAGTAGACTGACCTGTGTAACACAGGGTGTAGAATTAGTTGGTAACACTGCATAAAGTCCATAGCTTTATTTCATGTGTGCTTTTAAGTTGTCTTATTTAAAGCCCTATGTGTTGGGGACAATAGATAATAGTCCGTGGTGAAATGCACAAAGATAGAAAAGTACTGTTTGTCCACTTTGGCTCCTCCCTGCAGAGTCCTGCTTTTGTTGCTCCCTGGAAAGTCCAGCTTTGGTTCCTCCTCAGAAAGTTCTGCTTTAGAACTCCCTGGGAAAGTCCCTACCCTTGGAGACTTTTCTAGATATTGCTGGCCCCTTCTTCCGATGTAGGCTCGCCCCCTGTGTCAGAATGAGTGTGCAATTTTGTTAGTATAAAAGCCTGAGCCTAATGCAATGCGGGGAGGCAGAACCTCATACCACCTAGGTCAGTGTTGTCTCTGCGGGGATGCCTGCTAAGGTTGAGCCTGCCACCTTGCACTGCAGTCATGTTTCTCGGAGCTGGTTTCTTCATTGTCATTACATGGTCTCTGGGGTTGGTAAGATAACCAAGCATCAGAAGTATCTTTTACTGTATCAGTTAGTATCTCTATATTTTCCTGTATTAATAAACTAGTTGCAAGTTCTCTTTTTTTGTTTCTCTCACCTGAAATCCTTGAGCTCTGGAGCACCTGAAGAGATGAGGAATAATTACAATTCTAGTATTTCCTGTGTGTATAAATGTGAGTGCTTCTTTCCATCTGAATATATTTGTCCTAGCCACGGAGATTATTTTGTCTTTATGTTAAATTTAAGTCTTGTACTACTGAGCCATTCTTATCTGGTTTGTTTACCTGTAATGGCAAATGCATTTATGTAGCAGTTAAAGCTGTGGTGCATGGTTGGCATCAGATGTATGTTCTGGTAAGAATGAATGGGTTTAGAATCTGCCTTGCAGCTGGAAATTGCAGGGGCCCCACAAAGGTCCAATGTAAAACTCTTGAACTTCAGTTTATTGTAAGCCTTTGCTGAGTATGTAGTTAAATGTCTGATTTGAAAACTTCTGCCTAAAAGCATTAACTTTCAGCTGTTGGGGTATTTTCTTCTTGGAATTCGGGTTATATACTGTGTGACTATGCTTAGTGTTCTTTCAAAGATCAGACATACTGAAATGGCTTAAGATTTTCATTGTTGCTTTGTAGGAGTGACTATCCCAAAAGACTTGAATCTTGTTCAAATGTAACATACCTGCTAGCTAAGTTTAGTTGTTTAAGCAACTGTAATCCTGAATTACTTGCTCAGCTTCATAGCATGCAAGAAAAGAACCTGCAGAGAGTAGTTATGTAAGTAGCAGTATATAAATAAGATATATTTTCTTGAGTTACAGATTTGCGAGAAGGCGAGGAAGTGGCTCTTGCTGCTGCAGTGGTAAGTGGTGTTTTCAAATTCCATCGCAGCTTACAGAATGGAAGTCTTCTCCCTGCTGTAAGCTTTTTTTACAAATGTTTGTTTGGCTGTCTGTTTAAAGAGAAGATGGTACAAGAAGTCTAGTCAGTTAGCCAGCCAGCCACAGTGCAGTTATGAACATTACCTAAAGCTTTAGGGTCATCTGCAGGCAGAAATCTGGATGGTTCTGCAGGAAAAAAAAAAAAAATCAAACCAAAACAAACTAACAAAAAAAAAAAAAAACCCCATGAAAAACAAACTGGTGCTTAGCTGATTCCACTTCTGTCACTTTTAGTTGACTGCCTTTTGTAGGATAATAGGCATTTACTGGGCAAAATATTTTGATTTTCCCTTGTTGGATAAACTTCGTTTTTTTTTTTAGACTGACTATTCTCTGGAAGACATAGAAAATCCAAAACTGGTGTGGACCAACAGCAAAAAAGGCAAGTAAATACATTAATAGATGGCTTGGTTCCTAATTTTTTTTTTATTGGCTTGATCTGAGCATTTGTAAAGTGAATGTTAAGCCCAAAGGATACAAGAGGGAGACGTGTCTAACTGTAAGTGTAGCATACAGGTCCCTTCAGCATTCAGTGTTGGAGGATCATGAGCTTTGCTACTCTTGAGGTACTTTAAAACATGAGATAAGAGTTCCTGCCCTTTGGGTTTATCACTGAAAAGGGTGAGAAGAGACGGATTTAATTGACTTGTCAGTGCTGTACAGTATAGCAGAAGAGCTAGGAGAGCCACTCCTATGTTCTCATAGGTCCCTCCTGCCCACTGAAGTTTGTAAGGGAAATGCCATTTCTCTTCATATTCCAAAATATGCAACAAGAAAGACACTGCCACTGAAAAGTAATTCTATTTTGTCTGGGGCTTGAAGGGGTATTTAGTGCCTTCTAACAATGCTGTGTGTCACTGTGTCTGTGATGAGCATGCATAGCTTGCTTTCAACTCTGATCCAGGTGAGTGGTCATCAGTAGCTTTCAGTAGGTAAATAGGCTTCAAACCAATTGAGTTTGAAATGGTTTTTTGTGCTCTTCATAAAACTTTTCATTTTTCTCATCTTTCTAATGTATTTCTAGTTAAGGTAACTACAATTGTTGAATATGAAGATGCCAAGCATATTTCTGCAAAGAAAATATCTAAAAAGGTAAGTTTATTTTGAACAATCAATATAAGGGCTTTATCATTTGTGACCTGCTATGAACTCTGCTAGATCCATGACTGGGCAGGCCAGTGGCTTGCTGTTTGCTTGAAAAATCAATTGTTTTAAATTGGGTATATTTTAAGCAAGGCTAAACTATGTAGCAAATTAATTTCATAATGAAATAAGATACCTGTGCTTCTGGTAACTAATTCACACAGTCTTGCAAGCACTGGCATAGTCTTTCTCTCTTCATTTGCCAGCAAGTGTTGATGGCTTGAGGACCAATTTTCTGCTGATTAGGGGGGGGGGGACGGACGACACGACACAGACGGACACACAACCAATAAAACCCCAACCATATCTTTGATTTAATACATGATTTTATGTATTTGAATGACTTGTGCATTCTTTTCCACCTTGATCTCTAAAACGGCACAAGTGTGTTAATTTTACCACCTCAGTTTGTGCGATGTAATGCCTCAGCCAGACATGGAAATATGTAGCAAGATGACAACAAAGACTAAAAGATTACATGTGAAGTTACAGAGCTTAAAGGTTGGAAGGGTGTGTATTATGAGACAAAGGGGCACAAAATAAAAAAATGGAATATAGAACCCTTAAGAATTAGTTCTAAGTAATGTTAAGTTTGGCTTTGTAACAGTAGCAATGGAAAATTACTGAGGTGCATGGTACCTAGAGGAAAAAAAAATAGAGTACAGCCAAAGAATATACTGAGAAATCTCACAAGATAAATCATTATAGTTGACATAGTTTTAAGAAAAACAGTCTAGAAGAACAGGACACAGGGTAAGGAGTATCTGGGAACCGCAGGTGTCCAGGATGGGCTACAGTTAAACTAACTGATAAGTAGGAGGACAGGAGGGTTATTATGTCTCTGGTGCAAACAAACCAATTAAACTGGTATGAGCATCTACTGGGCATGCTTCAAAGGCTGCCAGAAGTGATGAAGATTGCTGAAAGAAGTAGACGACCCTCAGAGACCAGCACCACAATTCTGTACACATGCAGGGAACTTTCTAGAAAATGATGTAATCCATATGTAGCTTTATGAATATGTATGTATGCCCAGGGATTATATAAGGATGGCTTGTGTAGCAATACAGGGACACATGTTAGGAGGAGCTATACCCCGTGTCTCCGGGCGCGTGAAAACTTTGTTGGCAAGTTTGTTCCTGGAGTTTTCTCTGAATCAATTAGAAAGGTGGTTGATTGTACAGAACTTATGGGTACAAATTGGAGCACAAGAGGTTCCACTTAAACCTGAGAAGAAACTTCTTCTCGGTGAGGGTGACGGAACACTGGAACAGGCTGCCCAGGGAGGTTGTGGAATCTCCTTCTTTGGAGACATTCAAAACCCGCCTGGACACGTTCCTGTGTAACCTTATCTAGATGTTCCTGCTCCGGCAGGGGGATTGGACTAGATGATCTTTTGAGGTCCCTTCCAATCTCTAACATACTGTGATACTGTGAACTTCAATATGATCTTTGGGCATTATGGAACTTGACATTTTATGTGTATGTATAACTTATGGGGCTTAACTGCTTTTCTTTGGTGTGTGTGTCCCCCCCCCCCCCCGAATTCCTGGATATTTCCAGGGAATAATACTGTATTTCATTTGTCTTAAAATGACACTTCTTTTAACTGCAGTCTTGTATATGCATTTCCAGATTTCCAAAAGTAAGTTGTTGGCTTCACTGTCGCCTAGTCTAAATGGCAAACTGGACCCTCTTTCTAGGTAAGACTGATCTTTAATGGTTTAACTCACCTGAACCTGTGAATGCTGAATAAAGCTTTTCAAATGAAGTAGCTGAGATTTGAGCCCAAGAAGAATATATTTGATAAAGATATTTTCCAAAACCTGAATCGGATGTGTTGTAGAGATACCCACCTGAACAAAAAAGTAACTCTAGCTGATGAAGGGATGTAGTGGTACCTCTCGCTCGCTGAATGGTGTGCAGTTCTGAATCTGTGTTATCAATGTCAATTTCCAAACAATACTGAATGGAAGCGCGTCGGTAAGGGAAACCTCTCTCTTGCTCTGTTAGGAGTAATGAATTGTTCTGTAATAGTTATTACACAGCTAAAATGGAGGTGTCATTAGTAGGAAAATGCACACATGCAAAAAACATGTTAAAGCTGCTTACAGTCACAGTGGACCAAATTCAAGTCTCACTATAGGATCTAATGAATTAAAAACGTCATGGAGATCTGAATGAAAGTAGAAACTTAGAAGCTCCTGCTACTCCTACAGCTCCAGTGTGCGTACTTATATGCACAGAAACTTGATTCATTTATCTGAAAACAATCTGAACGTAAGTTAAACAACATATCAGTGTTTAATGTGCCTAAAAGATTTTAATTGCTTTCTTGAACTGGGATTACAGAAGTTTTGGCTCCACAAAATCTAACCAGAGAAGGCTGCTTTGCCTGGGGAGGTCTGCAAGTTCTCAGTCCTTGAAGCTTGTTGTTGTTTGAGTACACTAATGCTGGGATTAAACCCACATGCCCTTATATCTTCAAAACGTGTGTGGGGAAAGGGAGATTAGAGGAATGAGTGAAGTAAACTTCTGTCATCAAGATATCTGTGAACTGAGTCAAAATCCAAAACTGGAAAAATTTGTTCTCTGGATTCAGGTCAACCACACAGGGCAAATATCCTGAGAACTAATTAGAAAAATGCAATTATTGCTGAAAAAGACTTCTCAAGAAAACTTTGCACACTCAGATAGAAAGTTGTGGATGATACCGTAATTATGTTCAACTTGAGTACTGCAGCCCTCTCTCAACTACTAACATAAATTACTTTATTTCCTCTATGGTGTTAGGTCCCATTATATCATGTCTAACTCAGGAGGGCTTCTTCACTTATATATACACTAGGCCTCTGTTGTAGAGCACTTTAGCATTCTCTAGTTCACCAGCTGTCTGCCTTCATCCTAGCTAAAATGCTACAGTGGAAGTAGATGAGGAAGTAAAAGAAATAAGCAATGACCACGTCTAATTCTTTTTTTTGTTTGGTTTGTTGGCTTTTTTGGTGGTTTTTTTTTTTTTTTTTTATTAGGTCTCTTCACTCTTCTGCAAGTGTGACTGAAGCTGTTAAGTCTCCTGCTTCTGATTATAGCACCACAAATTTCAAAGCCAACCCAAAGGTATCTAAAAGGTAAGAGTTTTTTGGCTTGTTCTTAATAACTAACTTTAAATACCAAGACACAATACATTACATTGATATCAGTCTAGGCTTAATAGATCTTCATGGTCTGCCACTAAATATTTTTGGTAGCGGGGATGCGACCCAGTTGCACACCTCCTGCTCTGAGTGTGGGTGTTAACTTATGTTCTTACAGAGGTACAGGATTTGATTATGTAATTAAGTCAGTTAAAATAAAACAACAAAAAAAACCCAACCCAAACAAAACAACCCAAACAAAAAAAACCCTGAATAAAAAAAAAAAAACAAAAAACAAAAAACAAAAAAACCTGGAAAACCCAACTGGATCTAGAATATAAATTCTATTTCCACTCGCTGTTGTGTGAAGGTATAGTTTACAGTTTAAACTAATTCTCAGAACCCAAACTAGGTAGAACCAATCTTGGATACTGCTACAACTTTTACTGGACTATTAAATTTAATAGAAGATGTTACAGCACCAAAAGTTTTTATTTTTTTATATGTATATTTATTTTACTTTTTTTTTTTTTTAAGGGAAAGGGGAGAATGTGAAGAAAACCAGTGAGAAGAAAGAGTTGGTGAAGGATTTTATGCCTTGATTGGAAGCTATATTCATGAGCTTTTGACTCCATAGGCTGGGGGAGTTGCTTATTGAAAATGCTGCTGTTGTGTGGGGTTTTTTACAAAACAAACGATGAGCAATTGTTTAGCTAGGAACATGTTTCCCATCTTAAAATTCTGCTTAACAAAAATTCAAAAGCTTACATTAGAGGTACTGTTTTGTTGTGTTTTTTTTTTTTTTTGTGGTGTTAAATGTGAAATGTTCTCCAAATCTGATTCAGCATGTAGGTACAGTGTGCTTATTTAAAAAAAAAAAAAGAAAAAGAAAACCCCCACAATTATCTTTGGCAGATGTGTGCAGATACCTTTGAACTTCTGTTAAAAGAAGTCCTGCCATAGCAGTGTAATCTGACTGGAACATAGGGTTCTGGTCAGAGGAGTGAACATGGTGTCTCCTTGAACCTTATTTTTATGAAACTGAAACATAATGAGGAATACTAGCTTCTTGTTCATGCTGTTCAACGCACTATCCCAGCATAAGAGCACTGAACACTTCCTTTCATAGCAACTCCATGAATCTCCTGTTAGCTCATATATTTTATATATGTGTACACAAAACACAGTGAGGTGCTATTTCAAAATGGATGTGAGTGCTGTCAATCCTTTCAAGTAGGGTAAAATATAACACTATTTCAGAATTGCTTTATCTGTGGGCCTGTTAGCTGGCCAAAATGTTGCTTGAATGGCAAGGACTAACAAATGTTCTTTAGCAAGATGAACGGCTGGGCATGCTTTCTAATGAAGGAAAAGGTATTTAAAGGAAAATGTCTTGTGCCAAGCATAAGGGTAACAGTACAGCTCACTCTTAAATCTTCCACAGTCATGCTGCTGGCTGAATGACCCTGAGTGCTTATTAAAATGCAGTATTAAAAAAACAGATCACTGTCTAAGATTATAGCTGTATTACTCTACTACTCTATTCTGTTTTCCCTGCACAACAAAAGAAGGCTTCTGTTTCTCTAGAGCTGGAAGCTGGGTGCTGCTTTTAGCACTGATAAAGGACTGAAGGAACGTAGCTTCCACTATTCAGCTATGAAAGCATTAGCATTTGTCAGGCTTAGGCTCAGCATTTACAATGTTTACTCATTAAGAATGTCTTATTTAATCTAGTCATTTTTAAATTGCTGTTTAGAAATAAACTCATTTTTATGTCTACTAGCACTTTGTTATTTAGGCTGCCTTTATAGGTGGTTTGACTTCCTATACTGATCTAGGTTACTAAAACCAAGAGCTAGAGAATCACCACAGGGGTAAAGCCTTTGCCAATCTATTATGTGTGGAAGGCGAGAGATGTTGCCAGTAATTGTCCTTGCAACAGCAGCTACTGGTATATGACAGCATTAGCAGCTGGTGTACTTCTCACTGTTCTTTACTGAAGTCTGTGTGAAGAACTTAGTACTCTGTCACCTACCAGTGGTCCTAGGTTCATAAATGAAAATGACTTACTGCTAAGCAAAGTTATTATGGAGGCCGGGGGGGGAATATTCTTTTATCCTTATGGAAATTGACTTCTTGGAGGGCAGCAGACTGAGAACGCTTATGTTGCTACTATCCATTGATAAATACAACCTTTTTTCTGTTAGTGCTCTCCACATCCTTAATATTCACTAATAAATCAAACATAGAAAGCAAAACCGTACTAAGAGATCAGAATATTGATGTAAAAAATAAGGCAAACAGCATGTTCTTGTTCTAGGTATGTGTCCAAATCAGATCTGGCTTTGGACTTGTAATGCAGTGTAGATTGAAGCTAAGATCTAACAATGGGCGTTAGAATACTTTTTTATATTCTTGTAACTGCAGGTTTTTCAGGAGGTAGTATTTATAATAAGTCAACAGATTTTATATTTGCCATGCATTTGCACCTGATACTTCTGGAAAAAATGAAAAGGTTTACAAGTTTCTAATACTTTAGAGGTATGAAAGGCTTTTTGTTTTAAGTTGGGACAGCAATTCTTACACTTTTAAATTGAAATGTAATGGTATAAACTTTTTTTTTTCTAAACATTCTATTACGGTTCTTTTTTTACGTTTCTGACATTATAAGGGATAACTTTGTTCTTGATGCATCTCATGGAAGGGTGGTGATTTCTATTATCCGTCCACAATATTTGTGTGTACTGTAATAAAGTTAATATACATTTTTGTGGAACAATCCTGTAAAGCTAAGATGCTTCTTTTCAATGTCTTTGAAATATTGTGCTAGTAACAGACAATCCTCACTTTCAGATGCATGTTTCCAAGTTTGTTTTCCCTACAGGTGCTACTTATCATGGTACTTCAGAGTTATGAGACTTCCAGATAATAGAACACATTTGTGGGGTTGTTGTTTTTTTTTGGGGGGGGTGGTTGTTTGTTTTTGTTTGTTTATTTTTTCTTAATTTTAGTTGTTTTGTTTGTTTTGTGTGTGTGTGTCCCCAAGTTCTCAATTTTCTGTGTCACTGAAGCAGCACTTGCTGACTTGCACTATGAAGCATTAAGCTCATATTCAAACTAGTATTTACTTTAATCCATGTACCTGGTCATTAATTTCTGCATTGCTCCAATTTATGGACTTGAAATTTTTTTAACTTCTTACCACAAAACTGTTCTCTGTACATAGAGATAGTCTTCGGTGTGTTTTGTGCTCATTGTGACTTTTAGACTTGGTAATCCCAAGATTTATGTACGATTTCTCGACTATCAAATGGAGCATTCAAATGAATGCAAAAGAAACTCTGTTGCTGTGTATGATGGAAGTAGTTCTATTGAAAACCTGAAGGCAAAGTTCTGCAGTACGGTAGCAAACGATGTCATGCTGCAGACTGGTATGGGTGTGGTGCGGATGTGGGCAGAGGAAGGCAGTAGGCTAAGCAGATTCAGAATGCTGTTCACTTCATTTGTGGATCGTAAGTAGATTTTAAACTGCCTATTCTCCTGGGATCAGGGTACTTCTTCAGGTATTTTAAGAAAAGCATCAGCTATACGTTATGCAGCAGGAACACATGAAAAAGGTTGTTTCCATTTCCCTCATGTACCGGCATCTAAGTTAAATACTTGCTTTATTACAGTTATAAGCATGGTTCCTGAAGAAGGGCTTTCCTCCAGTCTTAAAAGGTTTATTTTTCATTTGAATTCGGTAATAATACAGCCCTAAGCTATGTCATTCTCACAAAGAGTTCTACAGATGAGCACAGGCTTACTTAAAGAAGACAGCAGCGTGACTGAAGTGTGCTCTCCCATTAGCCCTCATCTTCCAGTTCTCTGCCAGATACCACAACAGGTTCTTCTCAAGCCCATACTGGATGTTCAGAAGGCTAGAGAACATGCGTGACCCTTCAGAGTCTGGATCTGGAAGTACACCCACTCCAGCTATACCTAAGCTGCTACCTCCTTCTCAGCTGCACATGGCTTAGAGCGATCCCACACGTGCTCCCTTAGGAAAGTCCAGTTGTGTTGCACAACTGTGGATAAGCAGTTAAATTCAAATTTATTTAAGAAGGCTATATTAAAAGCAGAGCTGTAAATGCAAACAGGATTTCTGTTTGGATCTCATAGCCCGGGGTAGAGATAGTCTTTATTCCCATTGTAAATGAAGATGTTTCCTGAAAGTGAGATTTTCTTTGAAGTGCTTTCTCTCTGAATTTACTGGAATTTTGTTGCCTCACATATTTATAAAGGACAATATTGTCCACATTGCAGAACCTGAAAATAAGTAGCATCTTCAGGACTAAAGTAGACTAAGTTCAGAGCTGCAGAGAACTCCTGTGATACATGGGGAGAGCTGAATAAAGCGTATCTGCCACTTCAGGAAATCAGACCTATGCTTGTGCCAAAGGTTTTCAAAAGACTCTATTTGAAGAATAAGTAGTACAAATTTGCTGTCAAAGAAATACCTTTCTTGACAGAACATGTCTGTAGCCAGTCCTGAAAGGGATCCTGGTCACCACCTTGCAAAAAAGTTTAGGTTACAGATAAGAAGTGGATTTTATATTCTGTTCCATAAAACAGTAATTTTTTTAACACAGGTGAAAAGTTACTTTCTGCAAAACAATCTTTCTAAAATGACTGACAGAGACTTAAGAGAAATATCTTATTGCTTACTTTGCCTACATGGTAAAACAATGATTATTGCCTAGATGTAAAATAAACAATTGCATGGTTCAAACTAGTCTATTGTTTAAGCTACAAGAGGCATTTAGTAAAAGTTACATACTGTGCTTAAAACTGGTATTTACTGCAATTTACAGCTTGCAAAAATTGAGAACTGCTTTTCCAGTAGCATTTATTTCAATGCAATTATTGATATTAGTGGTAGTGCAAGTTACTCGAGCTTCCAATCTAGAAAATGCTATGAATTTTGCCAGGGAAATTATCTGTTTATGTTACAAATATTGGAGTGGGGTTGGGTTTTTCTTCTGTTGCGTTTGGGTTTTGGGGGGTCTTTTTGTAGTGTTTTTTTGAGTGCAAGAGTTTGAAATAGTAACTAATCCTAAAGCTAGATAACTTTGTTAACTTATAATTTTAAAGCAACTCAAAAGTCATTGGCAGAAGAAAACCTGAACAGGTATGTGGTTGTTATTATCTATGTTCTATCTTCAAATAGCATCTTTATTGGATAGGGCAATTGAAAGGTACGTGTCTGAAAAATGTTTCATGTATTTTTAAATCATAGAATCAGAATCATAGAATATTTAGGTTTGGAAAGGACCTTAAGATCATCTAGTTCCACCCCCCCTGCCATGGGTAGGGACACCTCACACTAAACCATGTCACCCAAGGCTCTGTCCAACCTGGCCTTGAACACCGCCAGGGATGGAGCGTTCACAACTTCCCTGGGCAACCCATTCCAGTGCCTCACCACCCTTACAGTAAAAAACTTCTTCCTTATATCCAGTCTAAACTTCCCCTGTTTAAGTTTGAACCCATTACCCCTTGTCCTATCACTACAGTCCGTAATGAAGAGTCCCTCCCCAGCATCCTTATAGGCCCCCTTCAGATAGATACTGGAAGGCTGCTATGAGGTCTCCACGCAGCCTTCTTTTCTCCAGGCTCCAACTGGAGACCGGCCCCAACTTTCTCAGCCTGTTTTCATGCAGGAGGTGCTCCAGTCCCCTGATCGTCCTCGTGGCCCTCCTCTGGACTTGTTCCAACAGTTCCATGTCCTTTTTATGTTGAGGACACCAGAACTGTACACAATACCCCAAGTGAGGTCTCACGAGAGCAGAGTAGAGGGGCAGGATCAAAGGAGGCTCCTACCAGAAGTGGGGTAAGCAATTTTTCTAACTGAAAAAAAAAAAAAAAAGTGAATCCTTGCTTATCTTATTTTCAGATCATGAGGCTATTTTTGTCTTCTGCCTTACTAATGATTTGTAATTGTATGAAGCCAACTATGGAAACGATCATTATTTCTGAAAAAAATTGCATAAATGTACTAATTGTGCATGACAGTCACCTAACACATGCCTAGAGCTGTTTGCAGAATTGACTAATGTTAAAAATCAATGTATTTGATTTCTGGCTTGGTTCAGTACATGAATAATGCTAGATACAAAGAACACTGAACATTGCACCAGCTGTTATGAGAAGAGTCCAGCTATGTCCTTGAAGCCCTGGAGTGGAAACAATCAATCATTGTGACTTTTAGACTTGGTAATCCCCAGATAAACAAAAGGAAAATTAAGTCTG